ACATTCAATTATGATTTTGGCCAACAGGGAAAACTTTTTTCAATTCTCTGCGAAAGTCAGGCATTCGAAATGCATAGACAATGACATTGAAGATGGAATTGCTGAGAAGAAGAAGCTGAAAWARCACACTAGTTATTGTTACTGGTTGATAATAAACTTCATCATAACGAAACACATCTTTGATACCCTTTGGAGACCACGTTATGATCGAGATGACAGTGATGATAAACAATGTTATGGTAAGTTTTTTGTTTTCTTTAACAGTYCGACAATTGTTCGACTGGATATCGGTATTCACCTCGGGGAAAAATGTCACCTTAATCCAGATGCAAAGGTAGCTTAATGCGATGGTTGCCAGAGATAGGGATCCAGTRAAATAGATAATAATTTGGAATCCATTGCCATTGATGAGTCCATCAACCTTCAATAAGTTAATGACAGGAGTAAGAAAAGCCAAAATCCAAACGACAAGTATGGCGCAGTAGTASTGTCGYGATGAAGCTAAACGGAGTTTGAAAGGGAACATGATTGCTATCAGTCTCTCYACTGCTATGGCCGAAAGTGAAAGCAAAGAAGCAATCAGGAAAAGTTGTAAAGTGAAGAACAGTCCTCTAAAAATGTCAATTCCTAACCTTCCTTCGCTTCCTCTGCGGATAAGGTTTACTGTAAAAGCACAAAGAAGYACAATSGTAAGCCCCACTAAGGAATCTGCAATGGTAAGGTTAACGAGTAAATAACTCGACTTTTTGGATCGGAACCGTCCAYGAAGGAACACCCTCATTGCAGTTGCATTTATYAGAAGAATAATGACACCAAATGGAATCAGAAAGACCATAAATCCAAAAACACTCTCCAAATTTTCTAAGTTGCGCTTGGTAGAGTTGCTTTCGATGGAGCTGTTCATTGTGGAGCCAGYYGTTGTTCACGCARAAAACACCTCAGGCGTCTGAGAAGGTATTTATCAATACGTRCAGTTATTAGATATCTTTTATTTATATCAATAAATTTAATGCAAAATTTAATTAAAAAACGATGWATGCTAAATCATTAATAGACATCATGCTGGAGTTGTCAGACAATTATTATTAAGATCTCATCCCTGTCTTACCGTTAGTCGAATGTTGCTTCACTCTGGGTTCGAGTTTCTGAAAGGATAATCCATGACAGAAGCCTTAATTTCCAAGCCTTTTCTATCCCTTTAATAACTCAAACGACTTTGGAGTGGAAAAAGGTAAAGTTCATCGGGGAAGACATCTTTAAATACACCCAAAGAATTCCAAACAACAAGATGTCATGTTTGCTCAACAAAATTAATTTTTAGAAAACATGGAATAATGAGCATCCATGKTTTGCACTATAAACAAAGGATGGACAAAAGGAAAAGGCCAAACAAAAAATCAATAATAAATCGTAGTTCGGGAAATTTTAATTAATAAATCCACCTTGGTGGTCAGAAATCGGTATTGATATTTAAATTAATACTACTGTTTAAAGAGCAAATATAGGAAAAACTTCATAGGGTTCTGTCAAGGGGCGCTAAGCACGCACAGTTTTCGTTTAACGTTTGCGGAAAAATGTGGAAAAAAGCCATGATTCAAGAAAACCGATCGAAGCCGACAAGTGAAATTGTGCATAGYGTAGCAAATTCAATCATTTCGGCCAACAGGAAAAACTTTTTTCAATTCTCTGCGAAAGTCAGGCATTCGAAATGCATAGACAATGACATTGAAGATGGAATTGCTRAGAACAGGCAGTAGGAACAGCAGATCTTTCAGTGTCATTTGTTGCTGTTGTGTTTCATCTGAAAGCAATAAATCTTTGATACCATTTGGAGCCCATGTTATGATCGAGATGACTGTGATAATAAACAATGTTATTGTAAGTTTTTTATTTTCTTTAACAGTCCGACAATTGTTTGTCTGGATATCGATATTGAACTCGGGGAAAAATGCCATCTTTATCCAGATGCATAGGTAGCATAATGCGATGATTGCAAGAGATATTCCTTCGGTTATTTGATTAAAAATTCGGGATCCATTGTTAAGGATGATTCTCTCACGCTCCAACATCCAAATGACGGGAGTAGGAGCAGCCAAAATCCAAACGACAAAGATGGCGCCGAAGTAGTGTCGYGATGAAGCTAAACGGAGTTTGAAAGGGTACTTGACAGCAATCAGTCTCTCTACTGCTATGGCCGAAAGTGAAAGCAAAGAAGCGATAGCGGAAAGTCGTATTGTAAATAACAGTCCTCTCAAAATGTCAAGTTCTAACCTTCCTTCGCTTCCTTTGATTAAGTTTATCAAACAAACACAAAGAAGTACACTCGTAAGCCCCACTAAGGAATCTGCAATGGTAAGGTTAACAATCAAATAACTCGACTTTTTGGATCGAAACCGTTCACGAAGGAACACCCTCAAAGCAACTGCATTCATTCCAAGAATAATTAGACCAAATGGAATCAGAAAGACCATAAATCTAAAAACACTCTCCAATTCATCGAAGTTATGTTTGGCGGTTGAGTTGCTTTCGATTGAGTTGTTCATTGTGGAGCTGTTACTCGTAACGAATAAAGTCCTCAGACGTATGAAATGGTCTTGACAATTACGTACAGTAATAAGTAACTCTTGTTTGCTATCTTATGAAATTGTTATTGATTATCAAACGAATGCCAAATTTCATAAAATTATGAAGAGACTTCCTGCTGGAGTTGTCAGATAACTATTATCAAGATCTCCTTTATGTCATTTATTCATTACATTAATTAGTCGAATG